TTAAAAATAAAATTTCACATGGCACATGTAAAAATAAAATAAATGCATATGCAATGTATATTTTTATGTCGCGTCCAAAAATACATCCGAAAAAGAACCATTAATATAGGACAATAAATTATTATAGTGAACTCATTCGAATTTACACAAATAGAAAATCTTACATTTTTGTGCAGAAAATAAGGAAAGAGGGAAGGGAGAGAGATGTGAAGTGAATTGCATATGGTTAAAAGAGAAAATAGAGAAAAATAATAGGAAAAAAAAAAAGTAAAGAGGGGAAGGTGCTAGGAAAGTATTGAAAGATCTTTAGGTGGGAAATTAATTTTAGTAAAGCAAATCCAACCGTTAATCTCATGAATGAGTAGATTTGAAACGTTCTAACCAATTGTGTTATAGAAACATTTTCAAAAACCATTTTGTTTTATTATATAGATATTATTTTATTTTATTTATTTATTTATCTTCTTTCTCTTGTAGGGCTTCTATAAAAGATGGAGTTCAAAGCAAAGGAAGAAAGGGAGGTGAGGTAGAGTTCGAGAGCTCCAGCAAGGAGTAGCACAGAGTGATAAAAATCAGAAAGTGTCTCTCCTATATATTAGAGTAGCGTGTCCACAATTATGTGGAACTAATATTTTTTCTCCTTAGGGAAGTTATGAAATCATGACCAAATAATTAGCGTTTATTATATTTAGTATTTTTGGTTTTGATTTGATTTAGATAAATTATATAACTTTCAGATATTTTTGTGCGATAAATGTTTTATTTAAATCATGTTATATAATTGTTTTCACTGCTGTGTATTAAAATTGTTAGACGAGTCATGACGAGTAAGACATGTCATACATTAATAGTAGTTTAGTGTAGTTCAGTAGTGATAATTTATGCTAAGCGAAGATGACTCATATTTTCAAATTTTAATATATAAATCCTCTTGATGATGTCTCTAGAGCATCTTACTATCCTAAGTAATGATTTTCTGAAAACTAATACAAAAATTCCTTGATTATAAGGTTAGTGGAAGATTCAAAACCCTGAGAATTTTCTTATTTTATTTTTATTTCTTTTATTTTTTATTATTTTAATTGGTTTTAGTTTTATTATTTTCAAAATCAATATCTTTAAATTACTTTAATTATTGTTTCTGAAACAACACAACTCAATTAGTCCTTAAGGATCGACATTTGGTGTGATATACCAGGTCTTGGGCTTGACTAGTATTGAGCAGTATGATAGCATGCATTACTTGCAGCATTTTGTTTTATCATATTTGGTCATTAAGATTTCTTTTCTACTTTTACTTAACCTCTTGTAACTTTTTCGGGCTAAAAATATTGAGTTTTGGGCATTGGAACTTGTCTTGGGTTACAAAATCAAATTCTGAGTTCATGGGCAAAACAGCTCATGCGGATTTGGCAACTACTTGAGTGGATCCTCATAGGGTTTTTTAGAGTTTTCTAGGCAGAAAACTGCTCGAGGGGATTTTGGTAAATTTTTGGGGTTCCTTTCTGGAGCAAACCACACCTGGAGGCAAAAAAATTCGTTCGTGCAGAATTCAAACCGCTCGTGTGGATTTCAGCACATCTATCTCAAATTTCATGCTCTTTTCCTCAAAAACTGATGCTAAAAACGTATAGACACACTTTTTCACTTCTCTTTCTATGCTCATCTTTTCTCTCCCTTCACTCTACAAACACATCCAAATCCAAACTTCTCACTAAGATTTAACACAAATCTTTAAGAAATTGAGAGGGCTTTTTACACCAAATCGAAGAGGATGGCGAGGGCTACGTTTATATCGATTAGATCAATTTTTCACCAATTTTGAGTTCTAGGGTTTTTGCAACAACCCCGAACTGTGATTAGTCACTAAACCATGATTAAGAATGCCTAAGAAGTAATTAACGAGAAATTTGAAATTAATTGCATGCATATTGTGTTATTTGTGCTTATATCTGTCTGAATTTCTGTTTCGGTATGTGAATTCAAGGCCTTATCGAATACTGAATCCGAAATTGACTACATTTATATGTTAATTAGAATTTTTAGAATTTTATGGTAGATTTAATTGAAATTCAGTTCAGATCTAAATAATTAGAATATAATAATGTTAATTGATTAGGTTAAGCTAGGAATAATAAAACCCCACTAATCAAGCCAATATAAGGATAATGGACACAACAACATTTCATCTTCATTTCCTTGAGAGCAAAACATGTGAGAGAGAGAGAGAGAGAGTTTGACTGGAAAAGCTTGAGCTCTAGAGAAAGGAAGAAGAATTATAGAGAATTGAAGATTTTGACTTGAAAACTCAAGCAATTGAACATCTAGAATACAATTAAGCATCTAAGGCAAGAATTCTAGCCGCTAGTTTTGTAATTTAGTTGGTTAATGCATGAATTCAAGGGAATTAAGCTATGAGATGCATAAATGAGCTAAGGAAGTAGGAAAGAAGAGTTAACCATGCATGCATGTGCATTTCATAAAGTTTTGAAGTTGTTCTCAAAGAATTCTCACTTGCATGTGTTCATCTTGACTTGTTTTGTGAATTCATCACATTTCTTGACATTTTATCTCAATTGATCATGTTTTGGAAGAAATGAAATCATGTTAATTCTTGCATGTGTTTTAACTCAAGTTTCAAGTTTGATTTTGCACAATTGACTTACCTTTGGGCTTTGATTTTGTGAAATAATCTTCAATTCATAATGTTTCACAAGTTTACACATGTTTTCTCAAGTTTTGAGGCCTAAAGGATGTGTTTTGAAGTTTTACACTTGAGTTTTGCATCTTAAACAACAATATGAAATTTTCATAATTCTGCATCATCGCTTGAGCGACAGAACCTGTGCTCGAGCGACAACTCTTTATTTTTCACCTTCGCTCGAGTGACCCAAAGTTGGCTCTAGCGTAAAATTCAAGCTCCCAGTGCTTTTGCAGACATGGGTCTTGGCTCAAGCGACATAAACTGCGCTCGAGCAACCACCCTTATTTTTTATCCTCCGTTCGAGCGTAGGAAGTTGAGCTGGAGCGTAAAATGAGAGCTTCCAAAAGTTTTGCAGAGTTTTACAGACCGCTCGAGCGTAGAAAGTTGCGCTCGAGCGAAGACCTAGTTTTCAAAAATTTGATGAAGTGTTTTAAATCACATTTTGGCATCCTCATTGCATCTTAGGCATTCCTAAGCCCTATTTAAAACATAATAATAAGAATAAAGATTAGAAACACAACAAGATAGAAAAGAAATAAGTTAAGTGTTTTCCAACCTTGTGTTTCAATATGTATTAATTGTGTGTTTGTGTAGGTCACGCGCCATAGATTGTTTGATCCGACTGTTCTGACTCTTCTACTAACGGAGCTATCTGTGAGTAATAACCCCGTAAAGCTATATTTCAAGATAAGTACTTTCAGAATGATAAGATATGATTTGGTATAGAAAATGTTATCTTATGAATATTAAATTAATGTCCAATTTTCTGAAATGTAATTGTGGCATCCTTAGTTCACATGGCCCTCGCCCGGGGGAAACAATACCGTTGCTTATGATCATATGGCCCTTGCTCGGGGGAAATAATACCGTGGTCTATGTTCACATGACCCTCGCCTGTGGGAAACAATACCATGGCTACTTGTGCGCAAGATATGGACCTTTGGGGTTGTCGATACCAACTATGCATATGGGTCTTAGGACCAAGTTGATATGATAGCTAATGGATGTACCACATATAACTGCTTATGACTTCTGATCAAGTATATGAATCTGAATCTGCTTCTGATTTGAAACCCGAATATGTATAAGAATTTGTTTATGATATAAACTCTGATTTCTGAAACTGTTTGGACATCATTCATAAACACTTTACTCTATTGTTATTCACTGAGCTCCAGCTCACCGTATTATTTTTGTATGTAGGTGATCAGGCACGTGACCAGGCCTAAGCTGCTGCCTGGAGATTTGTTTTGGTCAGCCAACCACAGTGCCTCCCGAGGAGGTTCCCGAACTGAGAAATGCTCAAGTTTTGTGTGCAAGTTTAAGACTTTTGATTTCCTTTTTGTTTAAGTTTGAACATGACTTTTAGTCTATTTATAAATATGGTGACGTAAGATTGACATTTCGATGACATCATATATGTAAATTAGGTTTTAAATTTTCTGTCATATGTATGTCTACATAGCTCTATAGACATTATTTGTTGGTATTTGCTTCCGCTAGCCTCTGTATTTTTTTAATTTGTTCAGAGGCCTTTAGTAATCCCAAGATTACTGGCCAGTTATGACGCTAAACCTCTAGGTGTCAGAGCATGTGTTATATTGCACACATGAGTCCATATGAGCTATAGGATGTCCTAGAAAAGAATTAGGGCCATTACATCTGCATGTGTGAGTATGTGTGTGAATTATTTGGACATATCTGAACTAAAGTGAAATGACATGACCATATCTGAACTAAACATGAACATTGAGGAACTGTAAAGAATTATGTGCCTATGGTACAGCTGAATCTTTTGAGGCCTAAATAAACTGTAAGGAACAGATGTTAAGAGGCTTTAACAGAATCAATGTTACAGCAACAGAGACAACAACCTCTGCCTCCTCCGCCCCCTCCGATCCAAGTGGAGCCGGTCAACAATGACATTCTCAGTTTGACTCAAAAATTTAACAAGATGAAGCCACCAACTTTTCTGGGTGGTATTGAACCGTCAAAGGCCAAGACATGGCTGCTAGAGACCGAAAAACTATTTGAAGTCTTTCCATGTTCTGATGTCCAGAAAGTTTTGTTGGCAACTTACACTTTGAAAGACGAGGCCTGACGTTGGTGGATGCTTATCCGAGACACTAATGGGGCTTTAACCTGGAATCAATTTAAAGAGATCTTCTATGAAAAATACTTCCCACAGTGTTTCTGAGACTGAAAGGTGTATGAGTTTGAACAATTAAGGCAAGGCAACATGTCTGTGGCTGAATATGAAGCCAAATTTACTGAGTTAACTTGGTTTTCCCCACACATGGTAGACACAGATTATAAGAAAGCTCGAAAATTTGAAGGAGGCTTGACTTTGGAAGTGTTTGATAGGGTCGGTGTATTAAAACTTCTTAAATATGTGGATGTGCTTGATAGAGCTTTAAATGCTGAAGCTAATTTAGCTGCAATGAAACAAATAAAAGCTCTAACAACTAAATGTAAAGGCAAAAGATTTGGGTTTAATTCCAGAAAAGGTCGGTCATTTTCAAAGAAGAAAAATACATTGTTCTCTAGTAGTTCAAGTCAAAGTAGTGGCACAACACCTACTTGCTCAGAATGTGGAAGGAAACATAAGGGCCCCTGTTACTGATCAACAGGAGCTTGCTTCCGGTGCGGCAAGATTGGCCACATGATGAAAGATTTCCCACTCACAGTTGACAATGTCAATCATCCTACGGCAAGTTCAACTGGATCCACTCCTACACCAAGAACTAATACTAGAGCTAACACCGGTGAGGAAAGTTTGAGACAAGGTCGAGTTTTTGATCTTGTGCCTGGAGACGTCCAAAATACCAACTCTATGGTGTTAGGTATACTTCTTATTTGTGCTCAAAAAGCATGTGTCTTAATAGACTCTGGATCTACCCATTCATTTGTGTCACATGTTTTTTCTCAGAAATTGACTAGACCCTTGGAAACTATGAACTACTTGTTATCGGTATCTACACCATCTGGGGATTCTATGGTATGTGCTTATGTGTATCCTGCATGTGATGTTATAATTAGAGAAGCACTTTTATATGTTGATTTGCTGCCATTAGATATAGATCATTTTGACTGCATATTGGGTATGGATTATTTGACAAAATATCACCCTACCATTGATTGTGTTGCTAAATCAGTTGTGTTCCGACCACCAGGGTACCTAAATTTGTGTTTGTAGGGAATGGTGTAGTTCTTTCCCGATATTTAATCTCTGCAATGAAAGCTAATAAACTGTTGAGAAAGGGGTGCCGAGGTTATTTCTATTGTGTATTGACCGTGCCCACATATAGCACTAACGTAGAAAACATCCCTATAGTCAATGAATTTCTCGATTTGTTTCCAAATGAACTACCTAGTGACTTGATTGATAGAGAAATTGAATTTACCATTGATGTAGTACCTGGAATACAACCTATTTCCAAAACCCCATACAAAATGTCCACCTTTGAACTGAAAGAATTGAAAATTGAGCTTCAAGAACTGTTAGATAAGAAGTACATTCGTCTGAGCACTTCACCTTGAAGTGCTCCAGTTTTATTTGTTAAAAAGAAAGATAGGTCTTTGAGGTTATGTATTGACTACCGAGAATTAAACAAAGTAACTGTTAAGAACAAATATCCACTGCTCCAAATAAACGATTTGTTTGACCAACTCCAGGGAGCTCAAGTGTTTTCAAAGATAGATCTTAGATCTGGGTATCACCAGTTAAAGGTCAAAGCAGGAGATATTGTTTCCAAATGAACTACCTGGTGACTTGATTGATAGGGAAATTGAATTTACCATTGATGTAATACCTAGAATACAACCTATTTCCAAAACCCCATGCAAAATGTCCATCTCTGAACTGAAAGAATTGAAAATTGAGCTTCAAGAACTGTTAGATAAGAAGTTCATTCGTCTGAGCACTTCACCTTGAAGTGCTCCAGTTTTATTTGTTAAAAAGAAAGATAGGTCTTTGAGGTTATGTATTGACTACCGAGAATTAAACAAAGTAACTGTTAAGAACAAATATCCACTGCTCCAAATAAACGATTTGTTTGACCAACTCCAGGGAGCTCAAGTGTTTTCAAAGATAGATCTTAGATCCGGGTACCATCAGTTGAAGGTTAAAATAGAAGATATAGAGAAAACTGTCTTTCAAACTAGATACGAACATTATGAATTCCTAGTAGTGCCATTCGGAGTAACGAATGCACCTGCCGCCTTCATGGACCTAATGAATAGGGTGTTTAAACCATATTTGGATGAATTTGTTGTTGTATTTATTGATGATATTTTGATTTACTCCAAAAGCAGGGAAGATCGCAAAAATCATTTGAGAACTGTGCTACAGATATTGAGGGAAAAGAAACTGTATGCAAAATTCTCCAAATGTGAATTTTGGCTTGACAGTGTGACCTTTCTGGGACATGTAATCAATAAAAATGGCATATCAGTTGATCAACAGAAAATCAAAGCTATTGTGAATTGGCCAAGACCAATAAATGTGTCAGAAATTAGAAGTTTTTTGGGGCTTGCTGGCTATTACAGAAGATTTGTGAAAGATTTCTCCAAACTCTCCATGCCACTAACACAATTGACATAGAAAAATGTACCATTTGATTGGAATGATCAAAGAGAGTATGATTTTCAAGAATTGAAGAATAGATTGGTGACTGCACCAATTTTAACTTTGCCCAATGGTACTGAAGTGTTCCAAATCTATAGTGATGCTTCGTACAAAGGTTTGGATTGTGTACTAATGCAAAATTGAAAAGTAATTGCCTATGTTTCTCGGCAGCTCTGTCCACACGAAAAGAATTATCCAACCCATGACCTGGAAATTGCAACTGTAGTGTTTGCTTTAAAATTTTGGCGCCATTACTTGTATGGGGCAACTTGTGAAATTAACATGAGATAAAACTGAACATGAGACAAAGAAGATGGCTCGAATTAATTGAAGATTATGATTTATAGATTTTGTATCATCCAAGAAGGGCAAATACAGTTACAGATGCTTTGAGTAGAAAATCTATTGAGAATTTGACATGTTTACTTACTAGTCAGAAAGAATTGTCGTATGAGCTGGAAAGAGATGAAATTGAAGTTGTTGTACGTGAATAGGGTGGAGTTCTAGCCGCCAGTTCTGCACAACCAGCTATACTTGAGGAAGTTAAAGAAAAGTAATTATAAGATGAATTCCTGAAAAAGACTGTTGATGAAATTGAATCAAAACCAAGGCCAGGATTTGTGTATGAAAATAATGTGTTGAAATTTCATAGTAGACTTTGTGTACCGGATTGTTCAGAATTGAGAAAGCATATATTGACTGAGGCTCACAATTCCAAATTTGCTATACATCCAGGAAATACAAAGATGTACCATGGCTTGAAACAAAATTTTTGGTGGCCTGGAATGAATAAATGTGTTGCTAATTTTGTAGCTAAATGTTTGCATTGCCAACAAGTTAAAGTCGAACATCAACAACCCACTGGATTACTTCAATTAATTCCAATACCAGAATGGAAATGGGAGCACATTACGATGTACTTCATTGTTGGACTGCCTCGCTCCTCCTGAGGTATGGATTCTATATGGGTCACTGTTGATCGTTTAACTAAATCTGTTCATTTTCTGTCTGTGAAAACCTTTTATAATGCGGACAAGTTGGCTAACATATATATATGAATGAGATTATGAGATTGCACAGAATACTAGTATCCATTGTATCTGACAGAGACTCCAAGTTTACTTCGAGATTCTGGTAGAGTTTGCAAAAAGCTTTGGGGACTGAATTGAGATTGAGTAGTGCTTGTCACCCACAGACGGATGGCCAATTAGAACGAACGATACAGACCTTGGAAGATATGCTCAGAATGTGTGTACTAGATTTCCAAGGAAATTGGGAGACATATTTTCCTTTGGCCGAGTTTGTGTACAACAACAACTATCACTCAAGTATTCAGATGGCTCCTTATGAAGCTCTGTATGGTAGGAAGTGCCGATCTCCAATTTGTTGGGCCGAAGTAGGCGATAGTCCTTTGTTGGGACCGGAACTTGTACAAGAGACGACCGAGAAAGTCAAGTTGATTTAGCAACGATTGAAAACCGCTTAAAGTCGGCAGAAGAGTTATGCAAATGTACGAATGAGGGATAGAGAATATGAAGATAGTGACCATGTGTTTATAAAAGTGACTCCAATGAAAGGGCAAACTCGATTTGGGGTTAAAAGAAAGTTGGCACCACGATACATTGGCCCGTATGAAATTATTGAGAAAATTAATCCTGTAACATACCAAGTAGCCTTACTTCCGGTTATGGAGAACATGCATAACGTTTTTCATGTTTCGATGCTTTGGGAATATTTACAAGATCCGCATCATGTTATTAAGCCAACACATGTGCGTCTAAAGGATGACTATACATATGAAGAGAGGCCAATTCAAATTGTGAATTGTCAGATCAAAAGACTAAGGAACAAAGAAATTCCATTGGTAAAAGTAGACTGGAAAAATCACGGAGGGACGTATGCGACTTGGGAGACTGAAGAGGATATAATGAAGAGATACCTTGATTTGTTCCCCCTGGACCCGATATTCTTCCAAAACAAAGGTAATTCGAGTTTGAATGACCAAACTCTTTAAAGGGGGGAAGACTGTAACAACCTCGAACTGTGATTAGTCACTAAACCATGATTAAGAATGCCTAAGAAGTAATTAAAGGGAAATCCAAAATTAATTGCATGTATATTGTGTTATTTGTGCTTTTATATGTCTGACGTAGGAATATCTATCTAAATTTTTGTTTCGGTATGTGAATTGAAAGCCTTATCGAATACTGAATGCGAAATCGACTATGTTTATGTGTTAATTAGAATTTTTAGAATTTTATAGTAGATTTAATTGAAATTCAATTCAGATCTAAATAATTAGAATAGAATAATGTTAATTGATTAAGTTAAGCTAGGATTAATTAACCCCACTAATCAAGCCTATATAAGGCTAATGGACACAACAACATTTCATCTTCATTTCCTTGAGAGCAAAATGTGGGAGAGAGAGAGAAAGAGAGAGAGTTTGAGTGGAAGAGCTTGAGCTCTAGAGAAAGGAAGAAGAATTGTAGAGAATTGAAGGTTTTGACTTGGAAACTCAAGCAATTGAACATCTAGAATACAATTAAGCATCTAAGGTAAGAATTCTAGCCTCTAATGTTGTAATTTAGTTGGTTAATGCATGAATTCAAGGGAATTAAGCTATGAGATGCATGAATGAGCTAAGGAAGTAGGAAAGAAGAGTTAACCATGCATACATGTGCATTTTATGAAGTTTTGAAGTTGTTCTCAAAGAGTTCTTACTTGCATGTGTTCATCTTGACTTTGTTTTGGAATTCATCACATTTCTTGACATTTTATCTCAATTGATCATGTTTTGGAAGAAATGAAATCATGTCAATTCTTGCATGTGTTAAATGATCTTCAATTCATAATGTTCATCATGTCAATTCTCACTTGCATGTGTTCATCATGTTTTGGTTTTGCACAATTGACTTACCTTTTGGATTTGATTTTGTGAAGTGATCTTCAATTCATAATGTTTCACAAGTTTAGACATATTTTCTCAAGTTTTGGGGCCTAGATTTGTTTTGAAGCTTTACACTTGAGTTTTGCATCTTGAACAACAATTTGAAAATTCCAGAATTCTGCATCATCGCTTGAGTGACAGAACCTGTGCTTGAGCGACAACTCATTGTTTTGCACTTTCGGTTGAGTGACTCAAAGTTGGCTCGAGCGTAAAATTTGAGCTCCCAATACTTTTGCAGACATGGGTCTTGGATTGAGCCACATAACCTATGCTCGAGCGACCACCCTTATTTTTGATCCTTCGCTAGGGCGTAGGAAGTTGAGCTTAAGCATAAAATGAGAGCTCCCAGAAGTTTTGCAGAGTTTTACAGACCGCTCGAGCATAGGAAATTACACTCGAGCGAAGACCTTTTTTTCAGAACTTTGACTAAGTGTTTCAAATCAAATTTTGGCATCCTCATTGCATCTTAGGCATTCCTAAGCCCTATTTAAGGCATAACAATGAGGATAAAGATTGGAAACACACCAAGATAGAAAAGAAATAAGTTACGTGTTTTTTGAGCATGTGCTTCAACACGTATCCATTGTGTGTTTGTGTAGGTCATACGCCATAGATTGTT